TTATCAATGAGATTATTTATCCACCTAATACCCAAGAAAATAAATTTTCCCTTACCCCCACATAAATCTGAAAAAAAGAACATGAAATTTTTGATCAATGGGAATCAAAATCCCATTGACCAACTTTTCCTCTCAAAATCAAAAAAAAAGAACACCCCCATAATATAAGCTTAAAAAACAAACAAAACATAAATAAAAACATATAAGAAACAATAAGTGCCACTAGCCAGTAGCCACGGACCCATAGTAGAAAGATTTGAGCATTAGAAAGGTGCCACCGAGAGTCGAACTTCCAATTAACTAGACCATGGAACCTTGGGGATTGACACATAGACCAATACCAGTTGGAAGGAATGTCTTAATAGTGGACAGAAAAAAAGGGGTCCTCTATACACACTTGGGGTTGCGCTTGGTTTAGGGTTGGTTAATTAGTCAGGTTCATCAGCCCAATGTATTGAAAAATGCCCTAATAAACTTATTTATTTTTTCACAAAATGCTTGCTTTCGAACATAAACACTTTTATAGGAATTGCCATGTGTCTGATCAAAAGATTTTCAAATGTCCTCAAAAAGTAGAGCAAGAAAAATGATTCATTAACAAATTAACATAAGTTTGGTATGTATGAATGCGTTGTATGTTTCTTGAATTGTGCTTTGGAAATCGAAAATATTGGTTTAAAGTGTAATGCAACATTGTTTATTATATTCTAGTTCTTCTAAAAGTAAGTTTCGCATAATCTAAGACAAAAAAAAAAAGTATAAATAATACAAAACAAAACATTTGTATTTGATGAACCTATCAAACAATATACAAGCATAACCGTGTTTGTAGCGCTAATGTATATATCATTAACACAGAATGATAACAGATAGACAACACCACAGTGCCAAATAACCACCGACCGACCGCTCATAGAACTAATCTGATAAAATGAGTTTTGGCCGTGACATAATATTTTTACATATGATGCATAAAATATTAAAATAAAAATTGCTCTCTTTCATCGATTGATTAATTGCTAGAGGGAATTGGGAAGAGTAACGTGGTGGGCAAACGAACAGTCATTCACTATTTTATGGATATTTTCCTTCTACTGATGTGTGTGTTTACTAGAGGGTGTTAACACCAACGTAGCGATTCACATTTACATTCGTCAAATATTAAGGGCTTCATGAATTTTGATAAATAATACCTTATTTGTTATCATGTTTATGACTCTAATTTATTGATTTATTATTTTTCGGATATTATATCATAGTTGAATCCTGTTGCATAAAGCCAAATGATTAAGTGCTTATTTAGCGAGAGAACATTTCACAAGCGTTGGTTTCACAAATGGGCCTTAATTCATAAATATTTCATTTCACCAAAATAAGAATAAGGAATTAGGTTGATTGAACATTTAAAGTGATTTAGTTTAATTTTATAATATATTTATAATAATATTTCAGAAAAAAGTCAAATTTTTCAAATTTGAATATATCACATCCTCTTACCATTCAGTATCAACAAGTTCATTCAAGCAATTTAACATTTCAAAAAATCCCTCCTTTAATTTCCTGAATCCCAGAACTAATCAAACGTAATTTTGTTGCCAATTCCATTTAATTGCTGATTAATATGAATATCACATCAATAGAAACTGGACGTTTGTGAAACACTCGCCTGCCAAACACCCAAGTTAAAGTCCAATCGACCACCCTACACGGAAAACTAAAAAGGTTGGTGAATTGGAACACACACAAAAAGCTGGTCAATTGGACTTTAACTTATTTGTTAAATTATTTTGGCTTCATGCAAAGTGAATTCCGTTGGTACGCTAGGCAATCAATTTTCTTTCTTAATTGTTTTCTTTGACCATGGAAAAGACTGGTTCAACTTATTGGTAGAAAATTAAGGTGGTGTTTGGTAGTATGTTTATTTGTGGATGGATTGAAAACAGTTTACTCTACGGGTAAATTATTGTTCTGTTGGTCGGGGCTGGTCTACAATGTATCATGGATCGTCCTCGTCTACAGTCCAAAATTTTGGTCACATTTATATCTTGTGGATGTGGCTGATCTACAATATTTCTACATTGTATTTTGATACAGTACAACTCTTCTACATATTTTTCTTTTTTTCTAATTATTAAATTTTAAAATAATATTTTTTAATATTTTATCAATAAAATAATATTTTTAATGTTAATTCTAGCACAAGCCCGATGGTGCTCCTTTTTCACTCTTTTTTTAATTTATTTAAATTTGATTATTTTAGTTTTTATCAACAAAATAATATTTTCAAATATTTAAATTATTTTTTATCATTTTTCCATCATTTTATTAAAATTAATATTTATTGATTAGTACTAATTTATCAATGCCTTTTTTTAGTATATTTATCATATAAAATGAAAAAATGAGACATTTTATTATTGACTGTGTAGATTATTCAAAAAAATGTATATGAAATAAATAGAATCAAAAAGTGTGGTGTGGGCCAATTCACACCACACCTACAGAACACCACTATGAATGTGGACTGGTCCAATCCATATAGTCTATCTACAGTTCAAAACAACTGTGGATTATGGTGTGATGTGGATTGATCCATATCATAGGGTGTAGTGTGCAATAGTCTTCTATACCCACCAATTTTTCATTCACACTACAAAACACTCCTAAAAGAGTGACTTATGCTCAATGGAGAATATTGATTCTAACCATCAAAACAACATCTCAGTAATTTACATCTGAGTCCCAACTTCTCGACCTCTATATAGGCCGTAGCCCCAAGGTTACGTTATTTTGAAAAAATGAGAGAAAACAAAGGTGTAACATCGATTATTAATTATTTGATTTTGACATTTGAACAATAGAGCAATGCTTTGCAAGGCCATCAACTAGCTTCCCTGGAATTGCATTGTTTGAAAAGCTAGTGGTCCCTGCACGCTTTGTCTACTTTGTGAAGTTCCCTTTATTTATAATTTTTAGTCAAAAATAGTCTCAGTATTCTTCTTGCCACCATTTTATTCATAAAAAAATAAAGAAAGAAAAGTTCTCTCACAAAAAAATTATTTGTTTGACCGATATTAAGAAGAAAGCCCTTTTCATAGGGCTTCAAACGATATTCAATTGGATGATTTTGAATTTAGTTCCATAAGCCATAATGGTGATTCATTCGATCCATTTAATATGGATCCACCCTTAATTACTTCACCCGTTCATGATATGATGCTGGAAAGACATCATATCAGAAAAACTTATAGCAAATCAATTGACATCATAAAAGTGGTAACTAATTAGGTGAATAGTTTTGATTAATCGAAGCCTTTCTGTTATCATGTCTTTCTTCCATCATAATTTTTTCTATATCTAATATTAAAGTTGATTTGAATTTTATAGTTTTACTAAATTTTCACTGATTCAAGTTTCATCAATTAATTTTGTTCATAAAATATAATACTAAAGTAATTTTTAGTTTGATTTATTAATATACTATATAAACTTTTGATCATTTGTAGTCTAATTTTATCATACTATTCAATATCGAATTATAATCCCAATTTGATTCAAATATAAACAAATATATATATACATATATATAGGAGAGACTGACCATAGGATTAATATAAGGTTATCAACTGTGAAAGTGGACGCAGGGTCCCTTATGTGACATATGAAATAGAAATTGATTGGTGAAATGATTCCTTTACATAGCACAAATGTAAGGTATCTTCCTATCACCCTTCCATTTGCCAAGTTTACAAATAGAAATGTATACAGTGCAAGTTGTACATATTTATATTTATACGGTACAAGTTCTACACTATATCTATGTTTGTACTGAACCTTAGGTGAGTAAGATAATTTCTTCCTTGAAAATTACCCTGTTTTATTATTCTCACTTCTCACGAGCATACAAGTCAACATGAATGTGACTAGTATTCATAACCGGGTTTAGAAGAACAATTCAGCAAGAAATGGTTCCCGGAGTGGGTGATGAGCCGGGTCAACAGTTGGAATTTTGTTACACTTCTCATTCAACCAAGGTCTGGAATCGAGAAATTAAAAAAAAAGTTATGAATTACTGTCATGCATGAATAAGTTGTTGTCAGACTACTCATAATGTGATTTGGGGACGCAACTCTCAAAAAAAAAAAAAAAAAAAGTGATTTGGGAATGTAACGTTACCCAATTGTGTGACTAGCATGGATAGAGTTGTAAGATGACTCACAAAACATCCCAAGTTCTTTTAACTGCTTATATACCGACTCCTTGCCGAATATCGAAGTCTATAAATGGGAGAAGCAAGTGGACATAATCGTGTACAAAACTGACAGGGTCCAGTAATAATCAATGGCTTTGGTTGTGGTGATGATTCTGCTTCATCTCCTTCTGTGGTGGCCACCGACGACGGCCATATCAATATCATCATCATCATCCGTGCCAATGGTAAAGCCCCATTGCAAAGGCAAATGTGGGAATGTCACCGTTCCCTACCCCTTCGGCTTGGATGACGATCCAATAAGCTGTTACAGAGAAGGGTTCAAGCTAAACTGCAGCACAACTCTCGACCCTCCCCAACTGTACATCGGTAACATAGAAGTTCTAGAAATATCGTTATTACCGGCCCAACTGCGCGTCCTAAACTACATAGGCTACGATTGCTACAACAGCACTGRTAATGACTATYMCTTCCCTWSTWTCAATGTGAGTRSTAGACCCTTYACTTTCTCCGACACCGGCAATAGGTTCACAGTCATTGGTTGCGACAATTATGCTCGCATTACCGGCCTTAACGGCCGCAACTTTACAAGTGGATGTTCCATGATTTGTAACGACCAACAAAGCGGCTTTATCAACGGCTCTTGTTCAGGCATTGGYTGTTGCCAGACTTCCATCCCCAAGGGTTTMAAAAGCTTTWWGCTGTATATTGATAGCTACAATAACCACACCGACGTCTCGGATTTCAACCCATGCGCCTATGCTTTCCTGGTTGACTCTGAGTGGTACAACTTCTCAGTGTCGGATCTAGGGGGTTATATGGATTTCTATAACCGAAACAGGCAAAACGTTCCAATGGTGCTTGACTGGGCTATAGAAAACTATACGTGTGAAAATGTTTCAAGAAGCGATCCATCTTATGCTTGCCGCAGCAACAGCCAATGCTTTAACTCTCCCAACGGTCGTGGATATCTCTGCAATTGTTCTCTGGGTTATGAAGGTAATCCTTACCTCGATGACGGATGCCAAGGTATGTTTGTACAATCCTTCTAATTGATCTTAAGTTAATACTTAGATAACTTTTCTTCAATGTATAATCTAAATGAATGGAGTGTAAATGGGCTGTGCAGATGTAGATGAATGCGCTGATCCAGCTACAAATGACTGCAGCAAGCTTCCTATAGCGATTTGCAATAATACCCCTGGAAATTACAGGTGCTCCTGCCCACCTGGTATGGTGGGAGACGGAAGAGAAAGTGGAAGCGGTTGCACCGCCCGCCAAAAGAGGCAATTTGTGGTGCTGATACAAGTCACCTTAGGTAATATTAAACTTCACACTGAATATTGTAGTTGAGATCGACTGTATGGGCATCGAATCATCAATACGTCTAGGGAGGGGGTTGTGAAGGTTTGAAAATAAAAAGAATCGTCTCTCATGCATTAAAAAAGAAAAAATATGGGGTAAAAATACAAATTAAAAACCAAGAGTATCGTCAATATCGACACACACCCAGGCCCATCTTTGGGTAAGGGATATTTTGATCCTCGACACCGTAACGGGATGTGTAACTTCCTGTGGAAAGAATTTCATCCCCTGTAGTCTCATCTATTTACTATAACCTGTCCTATGGTTTGTGCATTACTAAAACACTTTTATTGTTTGAAATTAGATGATTTATGGAACAAGAAGTTGAGTAATAAGATGAAAACATGTTTTCGAAACCAGATTGAAGAATATATATATATATATATATATATATTGTTTCAGTTTTGAAAATAGAAAATAAACACAAAACCAAGAACATTTGAGAAACAATCTGTTTTCAAACCAGATGGTTTTGATTTATTTTTAGAACCAACAACAAGAAAACAATTTACATTGTGGAATGCCCTGGGCCTTCTACAACATAATTATTTTTGTTTTCATTTGTTTTTGGATTACCATATCATCAAAAAAAAAAAACAGTCTTGTTTTCAGAGGAAAAAGAAGTTGGTTTTGTTTCAGAAAACAATACATGTTCTTGAAACCATTGGAATACTGGTTTTTAAAACAAAAACAAATTAAATAGTAAGAAATTATATGACTTATCTAAAACGTTTCTAGATGAAAACATGTATTTAAAACCAGAAACTCAAGAACATGTTTTTGCCTTTTTGGTTTCAATTTTGAAAACAAGACACACATAATTCACGCCACGTTGTCTTTTCTTCACCAAAATTCGAAGAGGTGAATGCCATATTTGGTATATCAAATATGCAAATCTCCTACATCATTGAATGAGTCAATTCATTAGTCCAATCTATTGAGTAATGAGTACAAGTCATTTCCCTAAATAGTGGAATTCAAAATCTTGATGAATTTAAATTCATTTTATTTTTATTGTAAAATAAAGGAAACGTATTTTATAAATTACCCTCGTATTATCAATTATCTATTTATTATTAAATACTAAAAACATTTAAGGAGATGGAGAGGGACCGAATGKGAAAGGCAGGTTCTCCATGTGCCAATGTTCTCATGCACTTTGTCACTAACTCATTGACTAGTCGACAAGAATAAATAAATAAATCTTTTTCTTAAAGGGCTTCATGTGTTCCCTGGCAAGCAATTCTGGCCCATAGCAAGCTGGCTGAAATGCCATTAGAGCTAGGGGTCCAGTCCTTAATAAATTCAATTTCTGTGTTAATTCGTAAAAGAACTTTATCTACTTACCGTTTTCTATATACATATATATACTTACCGTTTTCTATATATATATATATATATTGTCCATGCAGGTGTTGGCTTAGGCATCTTGTTTCTAGTCGTTGTAAGCTTATGGCTACATTTGGTATTCCAAAAGAGAAAGATAAAAAAACTAAAAGAGAAATTTTTTCAACAAAATGGAGGTTTCTTGTTGAAGCAAAAGCTCTCTTCATGTGATAAAACTGTAGAAGCTGCAAAAATATTTACAACAGAAGAGCTCAAAGAGGCAACCAACAACTATGATGAGACACGAATCCTTGGACGTGGTGGCTCTGGTATAGTATATAAAGGAATTTTAGCTAACAATAAAGTAGTTGCCATTAAGAAGTCCAAAATTGCTGATGGAGGCCAAGTTGAGCAATTCATTAATGAGGTAGTTATTCTCTCTCAAATTAACCACAAAAATGTGGTGAAGCTCTTGGGTTGTTGCTTAGAGACTGAAGTTCCTTTGTTGGTCTATGAATTCGTCACTAATGGAACCTTATTCCATCATATACATGATGAAGGATTTAAATCTTCAATTTCATGGGAGGATAGATTAAGGATAGCTACAGATACCGCTCTAGCACTTGCCTATTTGCACTCTGCAGCCTCTCCTCCAATCATTCACAGAGATATTAAATCTGCAAATATACTGCTGGATGATTATTATACACCAAAAGTGTCGGATTTTGGAGGTTCAAGGTTGGTTCCACTAGATCAAAATCAATTGACCACATTAGTGCAAGGAACCTTGGGGTACTTGGATCCAGAATATTTTTTCACAAGTCACTTAACAGAGAAGAGTGATGTTTATAGCTTTGGTATAGTTCTTGTGGAACTATTAACCGGAAGAAATGCAATTGAATTTGATAGACCCGAAAAAGAGAGAAACTTGGCACTTCATTTTGTTAGTTCAATGAAAGATGGCACTGTTTTGGATATTTTGGAGGATAGAGTGCGGCATGAGATTAACGGGGATCAACTCCAAGAAGTGGTTAAGCTTGCGAAAAGCTGCCTAAGTGTGAAAGGGGAGGAAAGACCGACAATGAGAGAAGTGGCAATAGAACTAGAGGGGTTAAGGAGGTCTGACAAGCATCCATGGGTGGAACGCGACCATGAAGAAGTAGAGTATTTGCTGAATGCGCCTTTAAATTCTTATACTTGCAATTACAGCACAGACTATCATAGTCTGGGAGTTATATCACCCTTGGACAGTGGACGATGATGGTTAAATGTTTCAAATTGGCGCCCGTTCCTATGTCGATCGAGCTTTTCTTTTACCATCTGCAGATGTTATATAGTTCTTGTCAAAATTTGACTTTCCTACTTTTCTCAAACACTGCTAGCTTCTACAATTTACATGAATAATCTCTCTTTCTTAGAGAGTCATTTCTCAGCTTATTCTATCCATGTATAAATAATTATAGTTGAAGTATTATTGCATATTGAACATAACTGATGTGTTGTGGAGTCCAAAGCTTTAGAATATTTCTGGGTTGCCGATTTACTTTAATCCTTGCTTTTGAACAGAAGTTGGGATTTATGACATGTTTATTTATCATAATTTTCAACGGTCAAGTTAATAATATATATCCGTCAAACACCAATTGAAAACATCTCAGATCAAATTACAAACTTCCAATTTTAGGAGTGGCGTAAATGAATGACACTAATTGGATGAACCAAACCTACCTTGGGCCGCCAATGGTCCTAAGTGAAACACAAGTGCACGGGCACACTATATATAGGTAATTAATTGTCACTGACTCTATAGTACGGGGATCCTTTATATCCAATATTTTAATAATTTATAAATTATCACTTACATATCAATGATTCAATTAATATTAAATATTACAAATATTAAACAAGATGAACTATGCATATGATTAATATAGGCTCATTAGCTAATAAGTGTGCAATTGGGAGATGGGGTGATCAGGAGGGGAATTAAGGCGGCCGGGACATACGTGTTAACTTTGGCATATCGTTTATAGGGAGAATGACGGTTCAGTCCACGGTGGGAAGTTTTAGGCCCAAATTATAGTTGGGTGGATGCCAGTTCGGAATTGATGCTAATTAATTTTACCGGTGGGTATTGATGTATAGAGTGGAGGTTTTCTGATATTTTGAATGTTTATAATTCTGCAGGATTAGAATTTTTATGCCCTACAATTGAGGTGGGTGCCAATAAAGGTGTAAATCGGGTTAGGTTGCCCACGACTTGTTATGGCACAGCACGATGGCTAACGTGCCGTGCCAGGCCAAACACGGAGGTCCGTGCTGTGCTGGGCTGGGGGTTCAAGGCCCATGGGTTGGCACGACATGACATGATAGAATGTGCGGTGCCACACACGGCCCTGTGTGCCGGCACGGTCTAGCCTACAACACAGCACGAAGCACGGCCCTCTAGGCCCGTAACGGGCCATGCTCGGCCCGCCCGAGATTATAGCCTTTGGGCCCCCCTCACAAAGGGGCCCAACGACTAGTTTCCACTTTTGGGGGGGGTTACAAAAATACCCCCCCCCCTCCCAACAACTATAAATAGCCATATATTTGCTTATGGGGGGTTGAAAAAATGACATAAATGCCCCCAATAGCTATATAACAAATAGTTTAGGGGGCATTTTAGGAAAAGCTATAAGTAACTTTACAATGACCAAAATACCCATCCAAACAGCTAAATAATAGATAGTTTTTGGTTATTTTGTGTAGTTGAATTATGTTGAATTCCTACAAATAACCCTATCCTCCACCATTCTCATCACACCAATTCAACAATTCTCTTAATTCTCTCTCTTTCATACTCATACAATCTCAATTATCTACAATCTGAGAAATTCTAATTGGCTGATTGTCTGATTCTGCATCTTCAATTCTCAAGTTTGAATTTTATCAAAGTTTCGACTCTCAACAAGAAGGCGGCTTGCTCAATCAGTTCAAGTGTCACAATTCGGGAGGCTTGGATGTTGAAAGACTTCAACTGTTGAAATCAAGTTGGGATTTTGAACCGGCAATCTGGGTAAGTCAAATTAGATTAATTTTTATCTTTAGAATTAAAAAAAAAATGGTCGGCCCTTCTTAAAACCTATTGCCCAACATGTTCACTATGGATGACATTTAATTGCATCATGATAGTATTAGTGTTAACATTGATGCCAATGCTTTTGATGTCAATGGAAGTGGAGCTTTCACCTCCAGTAGTAGTGATACTAGAGGAAAAAGGAGGGCTTCTAAATTGAGTAGTTTGGCTTGGAAAGTTTTCGAAGTAGAGGATATTGAGGGAAAGGGGAAAATGGTCATTTTCCGAAAATGTAGGAAAAGCTTTAGTTATTGTAGCAAGGGTGGTACGGGTCATTTGAGCAGACATTTGTTCACACATGAGCAAGAGGAAGATGAAGGGAGAGAAACAACCCAAACACATATTGGGAGGGGAATTAGTTTTAGTACTTTTAGATATTCACAAGAACAAAATGGTTGCGTAGTTCTCTACACCCACAATATAAAAAAGTTTATAGGAATATTATAAGAACTGATGCTTTAAAAATTTTTTTTGTTCATATAAACAAAATTTAATTTATTTGTTAGCAAATCTTAATTCTAAAGTTGCAATTACTTTGGATGTTTAGACATCCAAAATTAATATTAGTTATATTTGTGTTATCGACCATTCCATTGATAAAAATTAGCTTTTGAATAAAATAATTTTAAGTTTTACTAGGATTGAATGGCTACATAGTGGCCCAGCTATTGCTGCAAGTATTTTAAATACTTTTCATGCTTATGGAATAGAAAACAAATAATGATTCTGTAATAAATATTTTAAAATCTCAATTAAAACCATGCTTAAATGGTAAATTATTTCATATTAGTTGTGCATGTCACATCTTAAATTTATGTATTCAAGATACCTTGAATATTATTTCAAATCATATTTCAAAAATTAGAAATTGTATTATATATATAAAAAGTTCAGGGGCAAGAAAACAAGAATTTAAAAATTTATGCCAAAATTATGGTTTAAAATATAAGTATTTTATATTAGATGTAAAGCATAGGTGGAATTCTACCTATGCTATGTTAGAAAGTTGTATATCTCATAAACGAATTCTTTCTGATTTTTATAATTTAAAAATGCCTAATGATATGATATTTGAGGAAGACTGGGAAATGGCAATCTCTATAAGAGATTTTTGAAAACATTTTAATGATGCAACAAAAGAATTATCTTGAATTTATTATCCAACTAGTTGTAATTTACCATATCAAGTGATGGTAATTAGTGATTATTTTGCCAAATATAGAAATAATCCACAATTTCAATGTATTGTTGAAATTATGAAAAATAAATTTAAAAAATATTAGGAGAACATTTCTCCCTTTATTATTTATCTACAATATTAGACCCTAGGATTAGGAAAGATGGTTTAGATATTTTACTTGAAACATATTATGAAAATATGAATATTGGTATAGGAAATAAAAAAGAAGAAATTAATAATTTATTATTTGAAATGTATAGTTTGTATGATTTTGAAGTTGTAGGAAATATTCTTACAACTTGTTCATCATCTTCTTCTTCTCCTTTTACTTTGAGCCCAGTAGTAGAAGAGAAAAGCTTTTTTATTTAATAAGTAGAGTGCTAAAATCTGCTAATTCTACAACAAGTTCATTTACTAAAGTTAATTTTTATTTGCAAGTAAATTTTTCTAATTTAGGTGAAGTATCAAATAATTTTGATATTTTTGCCTAGTGAAGTGAACACTCAAAAACATATCCGCTTCTTGCTGCCATGGCATGTGATCTATTAATCTCTCTGGTGTCTATAGTTCCATCAGATTCTTGTTTTAGTGAAGATACCAAGGTGCTGGATGACAAAAGAAGCTGCATGAACTATGAGAGTATAGAAATGTGCATCTGCTTCAAGGATTGACCAGATGCAGAAGATATATTACAAGATAAGGGAGGGCATGATACAACACCGAACATTTCACCTGAAGCAGATGATGAAAGTCATGAATGATGATTCTTGAATTTGACTACTTGTAGAGTTTTTCATTTTTCAAATTATTGTAAAATTTTTAAGTTTTATTTAATTTATTTAATATATATATTTTAATTTTTTAACAATGTAATTTTGTATTTTCAATTTGTAACCATATTTCATTCATCCAAGTATGCAATGATTCAATCATTGTATTTGTAATTCACTAATTTGTACCATCCAGATTTAAATGAAATAGAATTCCTATTTTTCTTCCAATTTGTTATTCCATCATTCTTATTTCAATTTGCTTAAGTATTTTTTTCATTTATGTATTAAATAACTTAGATTTCTCATTTCTTAATTTTTTAAATAGTTCCAAATTCCCAAAGTTCATAAGAAAGTTAAATATTTTAGTTTTACAATTTACTTAGAAAAGAAATCAAAATTTAAAAAAAAATACAAAATAAAAAATGTGCAACCCGGTTTAGCCTTGGCCCAAGGCCTGCTCTGTGGCCCAGCCCAACAAGGTCCAAGCCCATGGCACAGCCTGTAGCCCTGCCAACTTGGAATTGATGCCAATTCATAGGCAGGTATTGGTGTATAGTATGGAGGTTTTTGACATTTTGAATATTTATAGCTTTGCAGTAAAAATAAAAAATCTACATTGGACCTGTCCGTACTTCTCCGTTGTTTCTACCATTTGTCAGCTCTTGGCAATATTGGGGAATCCAAAAGAAAAAGCATAACAAATGAAAAAAAAAGGTTCTTCCAGCAAAATGGAATTCTTCTATTGAGACAACAACTCTCTTTACATGATGGGAATCCAGAAATAACAAAAAGATTTATCGAAGAAGAGCTCCAAAAAGGCAACCAACAATCATAATGAGAGTCGAGTCCTAACTCGTTGTGGCTATGGAATAGTATGCAGAGGAACTTTACCAAACGACAAGGTAATTGCCATTAAGAAGTCCAAAATAATGATGAAGAGTAGAAAATTGAGGAGAGCTCAAGGCCTTGATGAAGATATCTGTTACTTGATTAGTGGTGGAAATATAATGAACATGTAAGTTCTTTGAAGCAACAAGGTCATGCACGAAATGGAAGTCAATTTCAATGTGCTTGGTGCATGCATGAAAGACCGGGTTAGTAGCAAGATAAGTAACACCGATGTTGTCACACCATAATGTGCGTGGAGTGGCTTGAGGAATGCCAAGCTTGTGGAGGAGAGAGCGAAG